TAAAGACCTAAGCCCTCAAGCCCAAACCTGAGACGCTTTAGGCACTGGTTGCTCGAGAGAACCTGCCGCTGCCAACGCCACCGTCCTCCATGGCCCTGAGGCTCTTCCGCGCGTTTTGGTTTTCATGGGCTCTTCTGTGCTTAGTTCTCCAAGACTCAACCTTGAACTACCAGGGTGCTTATAACGGTAATAATCTGAAAGTGTAACCTTTTATTTCCTTGGCTTATTGGGGAAACAAGTATGGAAGTATGGGTTGTAGTACAAGTGGGCAAGTCTCTAAGGCTGAGGGTTTCGGGGCAGGGTTCACTTTAGAATGGTGTCTGAAGCTTTTACATGAACTTGCGGTGCTTCCGTTTTTTGGAGGGGCGGTGCGGAAGGTGCTGAGCTGTGGGGTTGCTTCTTCGGGATGCGTTTCGTTTAGGTTTCCGGGGAAAGGTTGGCGATGTTTTGTTCTTGGGGCTCTGCGTTTAGGCTCAATAGCCGGCCCTAATTCCTTAACCCTAGACCCTAAACAGGCCCTAATACTAAACCCTTAATCCCAAAGCCGCAGATCCCAGAGAGGGTACTAGTACCTAAACCCTACGGTACTGTAAGCCCCACACCGCAAACCCTGAACCCGTACCCTGATGAGTCATGATGTATTGTCAATAATGTAGGGGCCTACTATTTTGAGGGGTCTTTCTTATAACCATAGTATACCCAGAGACTCCAATACCCCTTAATTAAGGAATATACTTTAAATCTTATTAGGGATCCTACTATAATTTAAGGTGTATTCCTTAATTAAGGGGTATTGGAGTCTCTGGGTAATGGGCCCCAAGGCCCTATTCTGATTCATTAGGGCCCCCACATTGATCATGCTACTGAGACTCTTGAGCCCGAAAGCCCGTCGAACACCCAAGCCTAAACCCTAAACCCTAGGCCCAAAGAACCTTTAACCGGAGCCGTAACCCTAAACCCTAAACCCTAAAACCCTAAACCCTAAAACCCTAAACCCTAAACCCTAAACCCTGAACCCTAAACCCTAAACCCTGTAGAGCCGGCGAGGATGCTCTTCGACCACTATGACCCGATGAACGCACAGCTTTACGGCTTTCCCGACATGCTTTCGGGTTTAGGGGTTTAGGGTTCAGGGGTTTAGGGTTTAGGGTTTAGAAGTTTAGGGGTTTTGGGGGTTTTAGGGGTTTTTAGGGGTTTTAGGGGTTTAGGGTTTAGGGGTTTCGGGTTTAGGGGTTTCGGGTTGAGGGGTTTAGGGGTTTAGGGGTTTGAGGAGTTTAGGGGTTTAGGG